GGCAGGCCCGCGCGCGATGTTCATGTGGTCATCTCCGAAGATGGAGGACACGTAATTCACATGTTTAAGGAACGATGGGTGTGCGGGAGGTGCGGAGATAATCGCGCTCGTCGTTGTGACTTGGCGAGGTTTCCGTGTTTGGGGGACCCGAAAGGGGTCCGTGAAGCGCACCCGTCCCATAAGCTTTGGCGCACTGGACCAATGGTTTGGTGGTTGGAGTGTGCCTCTAGATGTGTTTCTAGAGCGTTTTTGATCTCCAAACCTTGTTTCGGTAGGCCGCCCCTGGGTTCTCCGAGGCACTTCAAGCGTAGGTACCTCATCCAGGGGAAGGGGCCGTCAGGGGAGAAGGTCGGTAATGGCTTCACTAAGCCTGTTCCGATTTTCGTTCGAGTCGATCGTTAAGCGTTCGACGGTTTATGAGTATCCTTTCTGTGGCTTGGTGCATCGTTCTCGGCACACCTCGTCGTCATCCAGAGTCTCCAGAGCCTCCTCCTGCTCCTCCTCCTCCTCCTCCTCCCCCTCCTACTCCTGCTCCTCCTCCTCCTCCTCCTCCTCCTCCTCCTCCCCTCCTCCTCCTCCTCCTCCTCCTCCTCCTCCTCCTCCTCCTCCTCCTCATCCTCCTCCTCATCCTCCTCCTCCATCTCCACCTCCTTCTCCTCCTCCGTATCCTCCTCCTCTGCCCCCTCCTCTTCCTCCGCCGCCGCCTCCGCCTCCGCCTCCTCCTCCTCCTCCTCCTCCTCCTCTCCTCCATCGTCCTCGCCTCCTCCTCCTCCTCCTCCTCCCCTCCTCCTCCTCCTCCCTCCTCCTCCGCCTCATCTCCCCTCCCTCCTCCTCCTCTCCTCCTCCTCCTCATCGTCCTCCTCGTCTTCGTTCTCGAAAACATGATTACTGGTGTCAATACCTTTCTTCTTCATACTAGACTTCGTAGTATACTTCTTCAGCTGATTAATAATATAATATATATATAATATCCTCCTCCTCCTCCTCCTTCCCTCCCCCGCCGCCTCCTTCCGCCTCCTCCGCCTCCTCCTCCTCCTCCTCCTCCTCCTCCTCCTCCGGTTGCTCCTCCGTGTCCTCCTCTCCTCCTCCTCCTCTCCTCCTCCTCCTCCTCCTCACCCCGCATCCTCAACCTCCTCCTCCTCCTCCTCTTCCGCCTCGTCCTCCTCGGCATCGTCGTCCTCCTCCTCCTCCTCCTCTTCCTCCCTTTCTTCTCCTTGCTAGTACTACTATCCGTATCCTTCCTCGTCCTCCTTCTTCTCCGCCTCATCCTTCTCCGCCTCCTCCTCCACCTCATCCTCCTCCTCCTCCTCCTCCTCCTCCTCCTCCTCCTCCTCCTCCCCCTCCTCCAACTCCTTTTCCGCCCCTCCTCTCCTCTCCTCCTCCTCCTCCTCCTTCTCCTCCTCCTCCTCCTGCTCCTCCTCCCCCCCTGCGCAGCAACATGAAACGCAACCAGGCATTCATTTCCGCACCTCTTGAAGGGAAAGACCTGATGGGGCATTGCCCCTCTCCTCCCGACCCCAGGCGCCCCGTCCGTGCCGCCGATGGCCTCGCGCCGTCGTCCTGCACGCCCATGTCATAGCCATCACGTCGTCCAGCAAGTCGTCCAGCACAGCCGCACGGCAAGAAGGTTCGGCTCGCACGGCCAACACGACAACCCTGTGCGAGCCACAAATCACGAAACTGCACCAGACTCAGCTGTTCAAATGGGCTGCGTCTGGCCACAGGCTAACACCGTTGGGTGAAAGTCAACTGTCTCCTCCTCCTCCTCCTCCTCCTCCTCCTCCTCCTCCTCCTCTCACCCTCCCCCCTGCTCCTTGGTGTCCTCCTCATCCTCGTCCTACGTCCCCTGCTCTTCGCTCTCCTTCTCATCCTCCTCTCCCTCATCGTTTTCATCCGGCTTTCCTCTTCCTCCTCCCCGCCCTCCTCCATCCATATAAACACCTGGTAGGTAGGACGTTTCGCCTGTGATTCCCCTGCAACAGCTTACCCTCAAGACACGAGCAACTCGAGAAGCTAGAAAGACAAAGGGCCGGTTGTTTCCAGCATGCCTTTCTCGCTTTGGCGCCAAAAGGAAGTAGTTTAGTGTTTAGTGCACCTCCAGCACCTACAGGGATGAACACAGCTGTTTTTTCGTTCAAAATGCGATGTGTGCCATCGCGCCGCGAACGTTCGTCTTGAATCTAACAGCTACGCAGATGAAGCGGGGGCGCAATCAAAATACGACTCTCGCTCTCAAGCCGCGCGGAAATCTTTCAACATCGTCCAGCAATTGCAAGGATGGAGGCCGATTCGTTTCCAAGATGCTGACGTCGCTTGGGACCTCCTCATGACTTCCAACCCGAGAACCCAGATCCCACCAGCCCTTTAGGGCGTGAGTGTTTTTTCGAGTTTCGTCCTCCATCCTGCCTCTTCCCCTTCAGGGATGGTTGTATATATATATATATATATATATATATATATATATCCCACACATCCCTCCCCCTGGCTCTGGACAAAAAGGCCAGCGAGGGGTTAGAACGTCTAAACCGGCCTCAGCGGAAAGGCACAAATATCTGATGTGAATGTGGTTTGGGCCACATGTTGGCATCCTCGGGGTTGGAGCGCTAATAAGAAACTCCCCCTTCTTTGTTCGATCACCTCCTAGATGGCCCCCGAGGCTCCCCAGGATGCCCCCAAGACCGCCCCAAGAGGTGCCCAGGAGACCCCGAGAGGCCCCCAAGAAGCCTCCAAGAAGCACCCAAGAGGCTCCCAAGAGACCAACCCCTAAAAGCCCCCGCAGGGGCACCCAAGACGCCCCAAGAGGACTCGACGAGAAGACCAAAGTCACTGTGTGTACGAAGGTGTTGGCCACATTTGGGCCTCGAGGAGGGGGGGGATGGGGCCTGATTAAGGAGCCCCCCCTCCTTGGATCAATATCTTACAAGATGGTCCCAAGATGGAACCCGAGGCTCCCAAAGGTGCCCAAAGACGGCCCCTAGAGGTGCCCAGGAGGCCCAAGGTTACCCCAAGCGGCTCCCATGACAACCCCTGAGACGCGTCCCAGAGGCACCCGATACACCTCAACTGGCCGCTGGGACTGTCAAGAGACCCCCAAGACGCCCCTAGAGGACTCTAAGCAGCTCTCAGCTCCTCCTCCTCCTCCTCCTCCTCCTCCTCCTCCTCCTCCTCCTCCTCCTCCTCCTCCTCCTCCTCCTCCTCCTCCTCCTCCTCCTCCTCCTCCTCCTCCTCCACCTCCTCCTCCTCCTCCTCTTCCTCCTCCTCCTCCTCCTCCTCTCCTCCTCCTCCTCCTCCTCCTCCTCCTCCTCCTCCTCCTCCTCCTCCTCCCCCTCCGCTTCCTCCTCCTCCTCCTCCTCCTCCTCCTCCTCCTCATCCTCATCGTCCTCCTCCTCCTCCTCCTCCTCTGGTTCCTCCTCCATCCTTCCCCTCTTGGAATATGACGGCTTCCCTGCCTTTGTTCCGCCGCGTGCTCCCCCCATGCCTGATCAAGGCATCTCGCCCTGGCATCGTTTCTGGATGGCTGGTGGGGTTACGCGATGCGCCTACAATGCTGCAGCACCTACACGGATGGATGGCGGTGTTGTTGTTTTTCAACGTTTCAAGATGAGGCTCGTGCGTTAGACTTCCACAACTTGTATGACCAGAACTTGGAGATCGTGCAACACCTGCACGGGTTCAGGGCTGATCCTTTTGCAAGCGGAGCAAGATCTGGGCACTCCCTTAGACATGATCGTACTACCTTTCTGCATGTCTCTGACTTCGCTGGGTGGATACAAAAGCAATTTCGCCGCCTGCATGACAGGTCCTGACAATGAGTCTTTGAAGTCGGGCGCCTCCCGTAGTGAAAACGGAGGCTCCCGTGGACTTCTGGGAAGGAGCTGGGACGGGAAGGCGCTGGTCTACTCTGGTCCTCCTCCTCCCTGGAGGTGATGCCAATGCACATCATCCCTGTCATGAAGTATGCTCACGCGTATGAGCCCCACTGCGTGCACGAGTGGCCCAAGTACAGCCGTGCGCTCTGAACCAAGTGCGGCTCCATCAACAGCACTCCCAGCCCCAAGCATCGAGAGACGTGCGCCAAAAAACTGACGCAAAAGACCAAGGAGACGCCCGGCAGGATCCGCAGATGCCTCTGCGCCTCCTATGCGATCTCTCGTCGCCGTCAGGAGGGCGCTGGGGCTGCAGGGCGTTGGCGCCTTGCAGGCGCGTGGGTCGATGCCGCCCGACGTCACTGGAGATGCTCGACCGGTGGCCCAGCGAGAGGCGGGTGAGTCCAAAGGCTCCCCCAACCTGCAGGAAGAAGTGCGCAGGCGGAGCCGCAGCATGGCGAACACCAGGCGTTGAGCCGCGTCATGGCCCAGTCGTGGACGGCCAGGCCTGTGCAGACGAGCGCGGCTCTAATGCAGAGAGAGGCCAGGGGGCATCGTGTGAGTCGCCGATCAGCCAGGTGTTCCCCGTCTGTGCTGCCACTGTCACAGCTTGCCTGGGAAAGTGGCGGTACCCAGGCACCAAAGCGACCAGGTCCAACACCCGTGTACGAACAGCCTCCCAACTCTGTGCGATCCATCCGAGGCCAGGAGGCGCAGGAGAAGCGCGTCGCCCACTTTGGCATGACGCGAGACGGCCCCGACTGCGACCAAGGCGGTGTGACGACAGGCGGAGACCAAAGATCATCAAGTGTGAAGACCACTGGGGTCTCCCTGCTCATGCTTGTCCCATGGCTTTGGCTCTGGGCTTGGCTGAGCAGGGGATGGCTCCCTTTGTGGGATGGTCTAATCCGGCATTATCCTCCTCCTCCTCCTCCTTCTCCTCCTCCTTCCCTCTCCTCCTCCTCATCCTCCTCGTCCTCCTTCCCTCCTCCTCCTCCTCCTCCTCCTCCTCCTCCTCCTCCTCCTCCTCATCGTCCTCCTCCTCCTCCTCCTCTTCCTCCTCCTCTGCCCCCCCTACCCCCTCCCCTTCCCTTCCCCTCCTCCCCCCCCCATTCAGGGGGGGGGGGGGGGCACTCGTGCGGGCTCTCGTGGTACTTCAGATCCAGCTTGACGTGGTTGTGGATGTAGTACCTGCCGCGCGCGGCCGGGGGGGGGGTCGGTGCCGCCGCACCCCGCCCGCTCGGCCTCGGGAGGACGCCTGTGCCGACGGGCGACGCCTGGGTCTGAGAGGGACCTCGTCCTCGTCCTCGTCCTCCTCCCCCTCCTTCTCCTCCTCCTCCTCCTCCTCCTCCTCCTCCCCCTCCTCTCCTCCTCCTCCTCCTCCTCCTCCTCCTCCTGCTCCTGCTCTTCGTCACTCGTCCTTGTCGCAACGCACGCCGAGGCGTGTCGTTAGGGCGGGCCAGCAGGGTTCCCGACTCTCGCCTTAGCGCAGCACGCAATCGCCCTACAAACTTGCACAAGCTCCACGGGAGGAAAAACACTCGTTTTCAACATGTGGCTCTCGCTTTGGCGCCGCGCGCATCCGTCTTAAACAATGCAATAACTTCACGGATGGAAAGCGGTTCCTTTTCAACATGTGGTTCCCGCCTTAGTGCCGCGATCATCCGATGTACGAGCTGACAACATGTTCAGGGATTCTCATGGCTAACGTCCCAGCAATGGTGTTCTGGCATGCTGTCGGCCTCTCAGGGCGCAGCAATTCAACTGATTCGCGGTGGCACCAACAACGGTGATTCGCGGCACCGAAGTCCCAGGAATGGTTTCTGGCACAATTCATGATTCTCAAACGGTTGTCTTTCAACGGGGTCTTCCAACGGGACAATCCCCCCCTATCGTTGCCCCTGTCCTCCGAGAGGGGGGCCTGAGGGGCAACAGTAGAGGGTGGGGCTGTCTGAGGGGGAGAAACATCGACCTGGCGATGCATCGCGAATAGATCGGAGATCGGCGTGCCATCGCTCGGACGTCCATTTCCTGTGCATTTGTCGGTATCGTGCGTGTTTTTGTCGTTTGATGGTCCAGGATGGTCCTCGATGGTTCTCCCAAAGCAAAAATGCACACGTCCGAGCGATGCCAACTAGGTCCCCGATGGCGAATCACAACGTTCCTTGGCGGGTTGGAACTATCAGGCCCATATCGGCGATCAGTGGGCGATTGGGGGGCGATGCATTCCCCATGATCCTGTCCCCTGCTTCCGTTGCCCCTGATTGACACGGGCCCCCCGAGGCTGTCGACGGGAACCGACTCGGCATCCAGCGACGTTATTCGAAGACCCCGGCACCCAGCAGGGACCCCTGGACGGCGACATGTCCCAACAGAGCCTCACATCAAGGTTTTGTCACGACGCGAGGAGGAGGAGGAGGAGGAGGAGGAGGGAGGAGGAGGAGAGGAGGAGGAGGAGGATGGGGGGGCTGGGAGGAGGAGGAGGAGGAGAAGGAAGAGGAGTAGGGGAAGGAGGAAGAGGAGGAGGAGGAGGAGGAGGAGGAGGAGGAGGAGGAGGAGGGAGGAGGAGGAGGAGGGAGGAGGGAGGAGGAGGAGGAGGGGGGGCGGAGGAGGAGGAGGAGGAGGAGGAGAGGAAGGAGGAGGAGGAGGAGGAGGAGGAGGAGGAGGAGGACATTGCTGGGACATTGCTGACTAAGTCTGACCTCTGATGGAAAACACAGCGGTCGACGGCTCACTCGCTGTAAGTTTGAATTCACATGGGAGATTCATGTGGAGCGCGAAGCAGCACGTTGGCTAGCACGCTCGCATACGAACGAGCCTGAAGCTGCACCTGATGGCAGCGCACAGCACCTCCTACGATTCGGTCCCTGAGGCTCTGTTGCTTCGGATAGCGTGGCCCTTCGCCGTACTCTTTACTTTCTTTTCGGTTCCTGAGGCTCTTGGCTTCTGATGGCATGCCCTTCACCGCTTCGAAGGCCAGAGGTCCGGGGGAGAGGCGGGGGCGGAGGAGGAAAAGCGGGGGAAAAAAGGGAGGAGGAGAAACGACACCCACAGCTCAGACCGTCCCCGACCCGACCTTCTTGACCGCCTTCTTCCCCATGATGGCCACTGGTATCGTCCTTCTCGGACGGGTCCATCATGTGTTGCTTCAGCCTCGTCACCGTCAGCCGCCAGCAGGCGCGGCGCGCATCGACAGCCTGCAACCTCGCACCGGACGCCGGGGCCGAACACCAGCACTTCTGGCACCACTGGTGCCCAGCCATTCACGCGGTCGTCCCAATCCATTGGGTGGCCCCTTCCATCAGTGCCGCTCCCAAGTTTGATGGAAGAAACTCGCAGGGGGGGCCGAGGCGGGCGGCTTGCCTACGAGAGGAGGAGGAGGAGGACGAGGAGGAGGAGGAGGAGGAGGGGGAGGAGGAGGAGGAGGAGGAGGAGGAGGACGAGGAGGCGGAGGAGGGAGAAGGAGGAGGAGGACGACGACGAGGAGGAGAGGAGGAGGAGGATGAGGCTGAGGAGGAGGAGGAGGAAGGCGGATTGGGTGAGAGCGAGGGCAGGGGACCCGGAGCAGAGCGGAGGGCGGGGAGGGGAGGCCGGAACACGCGGGGCCTGCGCGGCCTGTGTGCGAGGACAGAGGCCCGGAGCCCAGGAGGACTGCGTGGTGCCCTTCGGGTGAGGCTATGTGTGCAGGTGGTCACGGACACAGGAAGAGAGGAGGGAGGACCCCTCTTCCCTCCCTCCTCCTCCTCCTCCTCCTCGTCCGTTCTCTCTCCTCCTCCTCCTCCTCCTCCCCCTCCTCCTCCTCCTCCTCCTCCTCCTCCTCCTTCCTCCTCCTCCTTCTCCTCCTCCTCCGCCCTCCTCATCATCCTCCTTTTATCATATTCGTTCCACGACCTCTCCTCCTCCTCCCCCACCTCCCCCCCTCCCCCACCACCTCCTCCTCCTCCTTCTTCTGCCCCTCCTCCTCCTCCTCCTCCTCCTCCTCCACCTCCTATTCGTCCTCATCGTCACCATCACCACCGCCACGACCAGATTCATCATCAGCATCATCAAATCCTCGCTCCCCCGCCCCGTGCTCCTCCGCATCGCTCCCCCCCGCTGCTCCCTGCTGCTCGCCGCTCCCCCCCCCCCCCCCCCACGGGACCGCGGGCGCCTCGTGTTCCTGACGATGCCGACGGGGAACCCGTTCATGTAGGTGCTCTTCCCGCCGTCCTCCAAGGGCGGGCGGGGCGGGGGGGATAGCAAAGGGGGGGATAGCGACCGTCCTGGACGCACCCACCACATACGCACATGCATCAGAAGCATAGATTCCCTCACTCGGCTCAATATGGGTTCGCGGCGAATAAGAACATCGCTTCTGGGGCACGCTGTACGCGAACCCGTTACCACTGCAAGTTCAGTCCCAATTCAAGTACACATCTGCGACACGGCGGCTGGCTGGAGGGCCGACGAAAACTCACGGCGAACGTCATCACTCCCGCGGCAAAGTCCGATAGCAAAGGGGGGGGTTGAGAATCAGCTCACGTAGCTGATTTTCCCGGCGCCTCCCGGCGCCGGAGGCGGCCATGCATCGAAGAACGGGCCCCTCGGTGAGGCCGGAACCAGCTGCATGCAGCAAATTTCGTAACCCCCCCTTTCCCAATCCCCCCCTTTCGCCCGGCCCGATCCTCCAAGGGCGGGCGGGGCGGGGGGTGCAGGAGTGGGTCGGGCATGTGCTCCTACAGGCGGATGTTGGACGATTTCGTTTCAAGCAATACTTCAACAACTACTCCAGAAACGTGAACAACAGTCGTAAACTCCTCCCTCGATTATGTTTTGACCATTTCTGAATATTCCTCCTGTAGAGGGACACGCCCGCCTTTAAGTGTAGGAGGGCCCAAAATCGAGTCGACAAGTCGGATCGGCGATCGGAATAAATCGGATCGGCGGACATCGGCAGCCGAGCCGGGAAAAGTGGAATCGGCGAAAAACGGCAGGCTGGTAGGCCTACAGTGACAAATCGGATCTCTTATCGCAGTCCGAAAGGAATTCACCGACATCGAAGCGAATCGAACCGGAGGAATCGAAATGAGTTCGGGGGGGGGGGGGCTGCCGCTTCGCTGGGGCCCCTCGTTTCCCCTGCCACGCGTCGCCCCCCGTCCTCGTGTAGGCCCCAGCGTCAAAGAGGACGGAGGGGGTGATGGGGGGGAAGGGAGGAGAGAGGAGGAAGGGAGGAAGGGGGGGAGGGAGGGAGGCAGGAGGAAGGGAGAGAGGGGGGGAGGCAATCTGGGTGCGTTCGCGTCAACTCTGACGTCCTACCCCTCACTTTCATCCCTTACCACGGCGTAGATATCCTCTTCATTCGCACGGTCGGATGTCGTAGCATGGCACAGCATCACATGGCATAGCGGGGTGTTGAATATCAACGCGTAAACATAGCATGGCGTGGCGACGCCCGAAAGTGGGGGTTCTGCGGCCCCAACAAATCAGCCGATCCGGCGTGTGAGTTTCAAAAAACTCACAACAGCCTGAGCCTCAATTCCTGAGTTTAAGCTCTACTGGTGTGTGTGTGTGTGTGTGTGTGTGTGTGTGTGCCGGGGTGACTGTGCCGGGAGAGGGGTCGGGGGGGGTAGATTTAATTCCCAGGGCGGAATCGGAGTTCCAGCTAGCTCCGGGACGGCCCCCTCGCCCAGGAGGGCCCCAACATGGGCCAAGAGGGTCCCGAGTCGCCGAACGAGCGCTACAAAACTCCCAAAATGTCCCCAAGACGGTTCCAAAAACCTCCAAGATGCCCTCCGAAGCCCTGAAAAAGGCCTCCCGCAAAATGCCCAAAGAAGCAACAAGTGCCCCATTCCCTCGGGCAAACGTATAATTTGAACGCATTCGCCTCATGGGCCTTCAGAGCGTCGCAGGAGAAGAGAGCCCAAAGACGGCCCCCCAAAAAAAACGCCAACAGGGCTCCAAGACGGCCCATGAAGGGCCCAAGATGGCCCAGGAGGCCCCCTGAAACGGCCCAAGAAAACCCCAGGACGGGCCCAAGAGGCGCCTGAGGGCGCCAAGACAGCGGAAAAAATACCGAAGACGGGCCAAAAAACCCACGGCAGGGCCCCAGAGGCCCCCAAGACGCTTCCAACTGGCCCCGGGGAAGCGCCCCGAAACCCCCCAGAGGCCCCCGAACATCTTAAAACATGCATCCAACAAGCCTTCTGGAGGCCTCCAAGCTGCGTCCAACCCCCCCCCCCGAGAAGCCCAAAACCAGCTCCAATGTTTCCACAACGTTTACGTATGAACGCAAGCGTTGCCATATAACAAATTCTTTCACGCTGTCCCATATTCTCGCGTCGTCTGTGTTTTTCACGCCCATGGTCTCACAATGGCCCGCAGAGGTCCGCGCGAAGGCCCCACAGACCCTGAAAACACCGCGGTTCCCAGCTGAGGCCGGTGATGGCACAAGGCTCCACGAATAACTGCGACGCAGACAGTTATTGCACAAAACTTGTCAGAGAGCGCGCAAAATCGGCGAAGTGTCGACACGAAGGGGGCCAACACCTGGTCCCAAACCGGCTTGACAACAACCGCCGAACATGTCCACCAACCGCCGGACATCTCCTCATCCTCGTCATGCTCCTCCTTCTCCCACTCCCCCACTTCCACTTCCCGTTTCCTCCTGCTCCTCCTCATCGTCAGCATCCTGCTACTCCTGCCCCTCCCCCCCCCCCGCCCCCCTCCACCTCATCATGATCCCCCACCTCCTCCTCCTCATCCTACTCCGTCGCCTCCATTCCCAAATCCCATCATCATCATTCTCACCGCTCGCCGTCGTCGCTGGTCATGACCGCCATCGTGCGCTTCCGGCAGCAAAGGAAGCGTCCCGTATTGGCGGCACTGGCCGGAGGCCACTACAATCGCCGAGTCGGCACCGAATGCGAAATCACTTCCAGAGTTTTTTTCTGTCGGGAGCCATTTGTAGATGTTGGTGCTTATTTGGAAGGATCGACAAATTATGCCGTGGCATGGCGTTGGAAAGAATGACGCCATAGCTGCAGCGGGAGCACGATTCTGAACGAACAGAAACGCTGAAACGAGACCAGCGCTGTGGCGGCAGCGCGATTCGGGTGACGCGTAGCCTGACACAACAGGGCGCGGCGACGCCCCAAAGTGGGGGGGGGCCTTGCGCTCCAACAGATCAGCGAATCCACACCGAACGTGGAATCACTGCCGATCGATTTTTTCGAAAGAAATTTCTACATGCTGCTGCGAACTTGGGGGCCCCTCTCCTGAAGGGAAACTGGGACACACAAATAAATACACACAAATAAAAATATCCCCGATATTTTCCAATATTTTCTGTGTTTTTGTCGTCCCCACCACTTCCCATATTTTTGCATATTTTCTGGGAAATCGACGATTAATTGTGTCTGTGTGTTGTTTCCCCTCCTGATCTCCGAGCGCGCAGGCCGGGGGCTGCTCCTCTCGGAGGGGCGCGCGGGGGGCTCCTCCATTGGAGGGGCGCGCAGGGCAGGCGCCTGGGCGCCGCACCCGCACGCAGTTTGCAGAGGAAGCGGCAGGACGGCCGGGTCAGACCGATCGCCCGGAGCACCGATGCCGCCCACTGCGGACTTTCGGCGGCGAGCGCGAGGGGGGGAAGCGGCTCCCTCCCTCCCTCCCTCCCTCCCTCCCTCCCTCCCTCCCGGAAGCGAGGAGGAGAAGGCCTTCTCAGAAGGCTCGGAAGTGCCGAGGAGTGTCTTGGGGCCTTCCCCGAAGGCGCAGGGGAACCTCTCAGAAGGCGAGAGGGCTTCTGAGGAGTCCCGCTGCCCTCCTTAGCAGGCCCTCTCCTTCTCGCTTACCTCCCTCGCTCGCCGCCGAGATCTGGACGCCCAACATGGGCAGGGAACACACGGGCGCGTGCGATGCCCGGCAGCAAGTACGGTCCGATCTCAACAGCGACGGCTGTGTTGGGCAGGCGGCCGTCGATGTCCGAGACGAGACGGAGACTGGACAACGCCCGCGGCGACAACGACAGCGAACCCCGTCCAGAGCGGGACGTGCTGTCGGTCTTCGTGCCCATTCTTTCCCTACGCACTTCGGACGTCCCTCTTCGAGGAGGGGATCGACGAACAGAATCGATGTACCGCAGGCGTGTTGCTCCGTCCAGCCTACGACAAATGCGTGGAGTGCTCCGTACATCTACGGAGCACTCTACGCATTGTTCGAGGATTCGGCGGCAAGTACATTCTGGGGTGAATCAATTCTGCAGTCGGTCCAAAGCTCGACAAGGAGGAGGTGGGGGATGAGGAGGACGAGGATGAGGATGAACAGGAAGACCAGGAGGAGGAGGTGGAGGAGGCGGGGCAGGCGAAGAGGAGGAGGAGGGGGAGGAGGAGCTGTAGGAGAAGAAGGAGGAGGAGGAGGAGGAGGAGGCGGGGCAGGCGGAGAGGAGAGAGGGGGAAGAGGAGGAGGGAAACGAGAAGGGTTCCCTGCCCGTTCCGCTCGTCTCTCTGCCAACGCGGACGGCGTCGTCGACGGCCGTCCGGGCGCCTCCGTGACCCAGCCAGGGGCTGGGCCACGGCGCCCGGACGCCGTGGCCGTCCTCGCGGCATCGCCGCCCCGCGCGAGCGCTCCCCGCGCGCCGCGTCCTTGCCCCGCCGGACGTAGCGCGTGGCCGCGGGCAGGTTGTCGACCAGCCAGTTCACCTCCGGAGGCTCTCCAGGGCGAGAATGAAGGGGCCCTGAGACACACAAATAAATACACACAAATCCGCCGACCCTGTCGGCGTGTGTGAGGGGCTTTTCCGTTCGAGCCGTCATCTCCGTCATTCTTTGTACTCGTCGTCTCTGTCCTTCCCTTTCCATGGGACTCCTCTTCCCCTGGGCTCCAGCCAAGCCGACCTTGAGCAACCTCGTAATTGAGTCGAAGGGAAGCCCCTTCCCTTTGATCCCTCCCCCGCCGGGAGGGGGGGGGGGTAGCGACCCCCCCCCCCGGGTCAGATACGACGCCCCCCCCTGGGACTCCTCTTCCCCTGGGCTCCAGCCAAGCCGACCTTGACGCCCCCCCCTGGGACTGGGACTCCTCTTCCCCTGGGCTCCAGCCAAGCCGACCTTGAGCAACCTCGTAATTGAGTCGAAGGGAAGCCCCTTCCCTTTGATCCCTCCCCCGCCGGGAGGGGGGGGGGGGTAGCGACCCCCCCCCCCGGGTCAGATACGACGCCCCCCCCTGGGACTCCTCTTCCCCTGGGCTCCAGCCAAGCCGACCTTGAGCAACCTCGTAATTGAGTCGAAGGGAAGCCCCTTCCCTTTGATCCCTCCCCCGCCGGGAGGGGGGGGGGGGTAGCGACCCCCCCCCCGGGTCAGATACGACGCCCCCCCCTGGGACTCCTCTTCCCCTGGGCTCCAGCCAAGCCGACCTTGAGCAACCTCGTAATTGAGTCGAAGGGAAGCCCCTTCCCTTTCATTCCTCCCCCGCCGGGAGGGGGGGGGGGTAGCGGGGGGGGTAGCGACCCCCCCCCCGAGTCAGATACGACGCCCCCCCCCCGTACCGACCTTGAGCAACGTCGTCATTGAGTCGAAGGGAAGCCCCTTCCCTTTCCCTTCCCCGACGGGGGGGGGAGAGGAGGTCCCGGGGGGGGTCCCGGGGGTGTCCCGGGGAAGTCCCGGGTCAGATACGACACCTCCCTCCCCCACCTTCTCGTCCTGCTCCCCGTTCCCCCAAACCATCCCACAGCCCGTGCCTCTTGCTGCGCATTGCGAACAGGGTCGGCGGCACCGGCCGTCAGGCCTTCGCAATAAAATGATTCCCCATATTTTCCCATATGTTCTGGGTTTTTGTCTCCCCCCCACTTCCCTTATTTTCCGATATGTTCCTGGGGGTCGACGACTAATTGTGTCTGTGTGTTTTTTTCCCTCCTGAGAGAAGATCGGCTCAGGGTCCGTCCCAAGGGCCCCACCCAGGGAGCAGCGGCCCACCAGCTCTCCTCCGGAGGCTCCGCAGGGCGGCGCGCACGAGGGTGCAGCGGGCGTGGGGAAGACTTCTTCGTAGAGGGAGGCTGATCATTCAGCAGGTGCGGGCCGCACATCTGCAGACGAGGCCCGCACACTTGAAGAAGCAGGAGAGTGCTTCTGAGAAGCCTTCCTCCCTCCCCCATGCCCCCTCTGCGCGCGGCTGATCTCTAGGGGGAGGACGATGTCATGAGAAGATTGGCTCAGGATGCGTCCCAAGCGTTCCAGAAAGGTATCTGGCGGCGTAGCCGGTGCGGAACATCAGGAAGTATGGGAACTTCTGGAGACCATGCATATCTTGGAACGCATCCCCAGTCACGCGACGCCCTGACTTTTTTCGATACGCGGTTCCTGGAAGCCCCGAGCCCTCCGCCAGGACCGGTCTCTCATCCCCTCGTGAGGAATTGCTGCTTAGGGAGCCCACCGAGGAGAGGACGTACGCGCCCAGCTATGTACATGAACACGGCCCCTCGATCCGCGAGGATCGGCCGCGTTATACAAACAGTTGCGCAGTTCGTACTCTCGAAATCAGCGTGGATTCATGTACGTGTACGTCCTCCTTTCGCTCCTGACTTCTGGACGGCCTGCGAGGGCCTGGCGAGGGCCCCCTCAGAGGCGACCGTGGCCCAGCGCTTCCCGCCGTGCTTCTTTTGTCACGCCGCGATCCTGCCTGCTGGCGGCGCGCCCGGGGGGCAAAACAAGCACTGCCGAGAAGTGTCTCAGGGCCTTCCCCGAAGACGCAGGGTCTCAGAAGGCGCGAGGGCTTCTGAGAAGTCCCGCCGCCTCCTTAGCAGGCCTTCTCCTTCTCGCTTACCTCCCTCGCTCGCCGCCGAGATATGGACGCCCGGCATGGGCAGGGAACACATGGGCGCGTGCGATGCCCGGCAGAAGGCTCGGAAGTGCCCCGGCCTTCCGAGAAGTTTCCAAAGGCCTCCCCCGAAGACATAAAAAACAACTTCCCCGAGGGCGCGAGGGCTTCTGAGAAGTCCCGCCGCCTTCTGCGCAGGCCTTCTCCTTCTCGCTTCCCCCCCCTCGCTCGCCGCCGAACCCCGGAACGCAGCCTCACCCGGACCTCCCGCTCCTCGGCGGGCCCTTGACTGCCCACCAGACCACCCCCAGCCCAACCCGAAGCCCCGCATCTCGGGCTGGGGGGGGGTATGGTATGAGCTCCATCTGTGATGCTTCGATGTGCCCCGACCCCCCCCCCCACTGGAAGTGGAGGGCACATCGAGGCCCGCGGGTTGGGCTGGGGTGCTTTCGTGCGTGGTGCGCTCTCGGCGCCTCCCGCCCACGCGCTCGGCGGCCCGCGCCTCCTTCGGCGGGCTCTCTCCCTCGGCGGGCTCCCCGCCCTCTCACGGGCCCCTCCTCCCCCGCCTCTGCTTTTCCTCGCGGGGCGCCGCTCGATGGCCCCTTCGGGAAACACGTGGGACGCACAGGGACATGCCAGTACTAGATGTCCTCCGCGGAGGCGCGCGCCCGACCCGAACATATAGTATACCCATCTTGTAGTACATCGTGTCCCGAGCGGGGTGGCCAGAAAGCTCCCGCCATGACGCACACACTTTAAGACACGCCACGATCGCCCCTGATGGGGGCGACGCACATATAGTAGAAGTATGTTGGGGTGACGCCGAGGAAACTGAAGGGGCTGACACACACACACACACACACACACAAATGAACACAAATAACAGGATTCGCCATATGTTCGCATATTTTCTGGGTTGTCGTCGTCCACCTCGCTTCCCAAATTTTCCTACTGGGGAATCGACGAGTCATTGTGTCTGTGTGTTGTTTCCTCTCCTGAGAAACGCTGTTTCATTCGTGGCTGTGATGGGCATAATGGGGGCGAACAAAAGGGGGGGGGCGGGAATGATGCATAACGCAACGCCCCCGTCCCCCACCGTGACATGCTGCGGTGATTGGACGCACCGCGGCAGAGCTGGGGACGCACTGGGAGGGGGGAGAGCGCTACGTTATTGAGGGGGGCGTTACGTTATGGGGGGGCATAACGCGCTTCATGGCCCAGAAAATTCGCCGGCCCGACGGGCCAAAGGCACGCTACGATCTCCGGTAACTACTTAACAGCATTTCCAGTTCGCGCGCGCGGGGCGGCCCCTGGGGGGCCCCGGGCGAAACGTACCCCGGCTGATCCCCGGCCGGGTCCCGGGCGATCCCCAGGGGGGAGGCTATTTTTCGCCACCCCTCACGAGGATCGTGGCCTCCGAGGGGGGGCTGAAATCAACTACCCCCCCTCCCGCCCTAAGGGGCCCCCAAGAGCCCTCCAAGAGGCCCCAGGGGAGCCCAATACGCCGCCAAGGAGCCCCAAGACGCTCCCAAGAAGCCCCCAAGAAGCCCCCAAGACGGCCCCAAGAGGGTTCAAATAGCGCTCCAGGGCCGGCGGAATGAGCGAAGCGATCAAATAAAAAACACTCTCTTCTGTGTGTTCTCGCGGTGGGAAAATGCACTGAGCCGAAGCCAGGGCGAGGACAAATTCGGGTGAGGATCCATCGAGTCTCTCAGATCCGGCGGCTCCAGAGGATGCATCGGGCGCGCCGGCCTTCTCACAGTGCGTTCCCGAACGCGTTCCAGAACGCTCTGGAACGGAGCTATCCTCGTCCTGGCCCCGTCTGGTGTACTGTACAGTAGGAGCCCGGCCACAAGAAACCTTCCACAAGAAACCCAACTCCGAGACCTCAGGACGTGCGTTGATCTGTGGTGTGGGGACGTCCCTCTTTCCATCGCAAAACCATCGAAACCCAAGAAACCCAGGGCACCACCCTGGAGGCAATCAGGGTTTTTTCTTGGCATGGGCCTCCACTGTACTCGTTTCTCGGCCCCTTCCACTCCAAAGTGGTCCTTGGCTCAGCCGCTGGCGGACAGCAGGCCCAGGGAGTGCAGGCGTGTATTGTTCGCAGGCGAGCCAGCGAGGCGTGACAAGCCTGGTGAGGCGCGGGCAGCGCCTGCCCACAGCAGGTGCCCTGCTCGGACTCTGAGCGCACAGTCGGCCCTTATCATAAGGATGCGCGATGAGGATGCGAGGGCCCTGGACGAGCACTTCGAAGCTTCTCGAGCGGGGCGCGGCCAACGAAAATAGCCAAGGATGCACCGAGGAGGTAGAGATGCAGGGGTACGCTTGGGAAGGTGACCTATCCTTACTACGCGGGTTCTCTGTGCAGGATCGGACTCGCGCGACCCAGATCGAAACGACTTCGGAACCAACGGATCAAACCTGCAATGTACGGTTGCTCTGGCTCCCCCACTTCTCCGGGTGGTGGCCCGCCCTGTCGAAACTGAGATCCGCAGAATACTGGCACGTCGTCTCCTGAAAGCCCCAAGGATGGGGAAGCCAAAAGGTACCGACACCGCCTGGGGTGCGTTCTGGCCAGAGTTTCGAGGCGAACCCAAAGGTGGCGACGAGGATCGCCGAGGAGGCCCAAAAAGGGGAAAGCGGGCGAAGAGAAAAGGTATGGGTACCTGTTTCCTCCTCTGAAAGGATCGAAGACGGCCCCTGGACTCCAGATCGTCAGAGACACAGCCGTAAAGTTGTGGAATGCATGACAATGGACACAATCCTGCCATTGACTTACGAGTGTGACTTAAATGTGTAAAACATGTTCCAACAATGTTTTTTCACATGTTTACAACATGCTTGACAGATGTTGCAAGCATCTGGGAACTATTTGGCAGCACGCTTCCTCTCCATTAATCGACTTCCGCAACCGTAGCGATTCTTCTCGCGACGATTAGTTGAATTCGAAGGCTCGTCGGCGGTCTTCGGCGCCTCTCTTGCGGTTCTTCGGAGGCTCCTGGAGGCCCCCGAAGACTTGTCGGTTGGAGCCCCCCCCGGAAGGCATCCTAGCGTCTCCGGGTGGGGATTCGGCGGGCTGAGGAATGAGCAGCCGCCTCCTCATCCGCCTCCTCCCCCTATCATTGTCCTAACCATCATCACCATGACCACCATCATCTTCACTGTGACCCCCCCTCGGCGGGGCGTATAAGCGCCCACAGAACGCGCTCTTTCGGATATCGCAAAAAACTATATAGCACCCCGCAAACGCGGAGAAGACTGAAGGGGCGGTGGGGACGTCGGCAGTCTGCGACACTTTGGAGAAGCCCGCCGCAGGCGACAACGTTTCACACATTATACAACGAGGTCGCCGCAGGCGCCGATCTCTTCTTCGAACCAATGTGGATCGGTCGCGGG